GGGGGGGGGGAAGGAGCTGGAGACCTAAAGGGAAGGGAAAGAGGCGGATGCTAGCGTGTAGCAGCGTCTGCATATGGCCCCTGCTCTTTCTTGTCTTGCAGTTGCAGCTGGAGAAGCACAGAAACAGAAACAGACGGGAGATGGGTCAGGGCTCAGCTGGGCCTTCTCGAGTCCTGAATTAGCGTTCAAGCCACGAGAGAAAAGACCGCGCTCTACATTACTTTATCACTGCAACGCCCTAAAGTTGGTTTGATGATCGCGGCAAAGCGCCCTGACCTCGCTTTTCGTTCCCTTGCTAGTTAAAACTTTAGTGGTGGGGATAGTTCAGGGACTTTGTGGGTGGGCCAATGGTCTGGGGCTGTGGCTGATGTGTTCAAGATTGGTTTGTTGATGTTTACATGCAGGTCTCGAGACAGTCAGAGCAGGTCAGTGACATCAGTAGGTAGGCTTATGTTTTGCGCAGCCATAAGCTGACCCTTAAAGAGAAGCAGCGTTTGGGGCTATAACATTGATAGGCTGGAATATACTGCAGGCACAGCTTGCATGAGGTCAGTGACAAGGATAAATAGCCGACAACCTCGAAAAAATGTCTCTATACTCTCCAGTTTCCGTGTCTAACATCGATATTAGCGATGGCATCCGAACCAACTTTGCGGTGAATTATGACCTAGACATTTCCCTACACCGAGTTTTGGCTTAGATTTGGGCACCACCCCTATCGCGTGCTCTGCCCTTCCCGAGGGGCTGGTATGATGATTCACTTTAGACTGCATGTAGTGTGGCAGCCCAATTGCGACTTGCACTCCGCTTATTGGTCCACTATCCTCTGCCTCTTCAACTCCTACAACGTTGCTTCATCTGAGCAGTTCCATTTCGGCTGCTTGCCTCTGTTTACTGCATAGCACTGATCATAAGGGAAAGTTAGTTGCTTCACTGTTCATCTCTTTAACTCGCATAAATGTTCCCGTGTTTGTATTTCCTAAAACGGGTAATGCACTTTAGCAATATGCAAGTAATTAGCGCCACACGCTGACACTTCAAATGAATTAAATGAGTACGGAGTAATTTGACCAACAATTATCCCTTTGTTGGTCAAAAGGTTAACAATGAAATCATGCTCCGCTCCAGCAGGCGGCACAGAAAACATGGACACGTGCACAAATGAGCGACTGATTGATCCATGTGTATATGCACGCACTGCCAGCTGCTCCCTCACTAGTAACCCAAACAAGGAGTCATTAACGAAAGCCACGACAGTTAAACAATTCACGGTCAATACATCAGTCACAAAGTAAAACACTCTCCACTGATACGGAGACGGAAAGAGATGCAATTCACGTCGTGACATCACAAACGAGAATCCTAATTCACTCCATAATCCGTTGCCAGAGAGACACGGCACTTTCCTCTGGGCCCTGAACCTTCAACTCCACTGATATCCACATGTGGGGACTGACATGCTTGCGTGCAGATTAATTAAACGCGGTAAGCGCGAGACTCCACTTAACGATTTGGCACGTCTCTTCAATATTCAGACGAGACTCTCAAAATAACCAATTGGTTTAGTAGTACATATAAATCTAAGGTGTATCAAACATATTTTATCGTATAGTACATTTATCCATGAATATATTTCTCGACTCTTCAGTTAGGTCGCGAGTTTGACTGTTGAAACCAACGTGGAGGAGGAACAAGGATCACCTCCTTACCCTTGTCTCCTCTCCTACGGTTAATAAGTTCCATGCCCAAGACTCCCGACGCAAGGCCAAATAGATGCGATGCGAGATCGATCTGTAACTTGGCCGTCTTGCCGAAAGCGGCAAGCTGTGGCACGCAGCAGATCGCCAGGAAGATGATACCGGGTACACCATCCTGTTGGGGTAGACCAAAGAACCTGAAGCCGTCGACACGGTGATGCCAGAAGTACGCAGCTATCACACCGAGAGTTCCCGCCGAGGCGCCCAGTGTAGTAACGTGCAGCATGCCTCGCAAAGCATAAGTAGCTACACTGCCGACAAAGCCGACCGCACCGCATGCTGTATAGAGGGTAAGGAAGTCGGCGCGGCCGATCTCATTGTGAAGAGCAGAACCGACGAAGAAGAGAGGAACCATATTCATGATCAAGTGACCAATTCCCTGATGAGAGTACGGCGCAGTGAACATGGTGACAGGCTTTACGGCGCCGACAGCGATGATCATGTAGCGGTTGAGCAACTTCCACAAAGGAGGAGCCTTCCATGCTGCCCAGACAAGCACGTTGACTGCAACAATAGCTCCGAGCGTCGCATGCGCAGTTGAGACATCAGGGAAAATTCGGTACCGAGGAGAGGGCTCTTCATAGACGGTGGTGACAGCAGCGAGGAAGCCAACGACAAGAACAACAAGAGTGGCCGAGGGAAGAATACGCTCCCAAGCCCTGAGTTCAACGGGAGCTTGCATGTCAGACTGTGCGTTCTTGTAGTACTCGGCGATCTTGGGGTTGGCAATCTGGCGCTCTGCCTTGTGGTCAAGGTTGGCCAGAGTGCCAGAGTTCACTTCTCCCTTGGCTTCGGCTAGCTTGCGCGCCTCTTCCTCAAGAGCTTCCTGGGCCTTGCGCTTGGCTACATTCTGTGCTCGAATTTCGTCAAGCTTACTGTGGCCGTAGACCGGGTCTGGCTTGTAGATTGGGGCTTCGACTTCAGTGTCATCCTTGTTCTTCTTGGTTGTTGACTTGGCCTTCTTCTTTTCCGCAGCTTCCCGTTCCGCCTCAAGTTGTGCAAGCTCATCCTCAGCTCGAAGTCCTGCGTTCATGACTTCGTCAACAGAAACCGTCTTCCTTAGATACGCGAGTCCTTTTTCGATTTGGGCCTTGGAGAACGTGGATGTATGAACGGCAAACGCTGGATCATTGAGAGTACCAGCAACCCGACGACCATGGAGAATACGTAGCAGTTGGTTCGCCTTTTTGGTGTTGATTCCTTTTCCGAAAGCTTTCGTAACCTCTTCTTCGGACAAATCCTTGCTTCTGAACTGAATGCCGACCTGGTCCCTGTAATCACTCGGCAGGTCCTCATATTTTCGGATCGTCTTATCGAAGAATATCGTTCGTCGGGTCTCGTACGATGTATGGCTGTTTCCAAACGGGTTGTTTCGGCAGTTTGTAGTCGATAAAAGGCCATTTCGGTTACTAGGCGAACGACCGGAAATCCATCGAGCTGGTGTGAATGGTTGAGTCGCAGATGACGATGCCCTCGAAACTGCTCGTTGGAGAGCAGATCTCAGCACCATCCGCGAGGAATTGGGGCACGCGAATAGACTCATTGTGGCTGAATGAATGCGCAAGATGCGCTCTGCAGAGCCACTGGCTCGATAGAAAAAGAAAGGGCCAAAGTGAGGGGGGGCAATGATGGTATGATGGGGAAGTTCTTAGTCCATCAATTAATTTTGGACGCATGAGGTCGACATTTTTGGCTAAGGCAGCCTGAGATCGACTGTTAAGACGGTACGTACCGCAACTACGCGGGACACCTCAACTGGAAGAAGCCTAGAACCCCACCATTACCTTCAACTGCCCCACGATCTTCCTTGAAGCTACCACGAACATTATCAATCTCCAACTCACAATTTCTTGAGTGCGATTTCACTTTCTGTGACTACATCAGTTGATTCTCTCATACCCCCGAACCGCTGCAAATATGTCAACAACCACATCCGCCGATACACGGCCCATCGCCCCTGCGCGCTTCGCCGCCGCTCTCAAAGACCTATCTCTCGGCATGCTACACCTCAAGGTCCTCGAGATCCGCAACTCAATCGCCCACCTCCAGTACTCCAACGATCAACTCAAGCCCTTCGCAGAAGGCACAGAAACTACACCCACCGGTGAAGCCTCAGAGCCCGACCAAGACTGCATCGACGCCATCAAGGAGAACGAGGGTGTGATTGACCGCATGGCTGAGCGAATCGCACTTATCCGCGCGGAGGTGGAGGAGCGTGGTCTCAACTGGACGGAGTTTCAAAACCGCGATGAGTCTGCGAGCAAAAACGACGAAGATGCTGCCACTGCTGCTCCTGCTCCTGCTCCTGC